GGTTAATACTAGGGAATAACAGCACCTCTGCCATCTGTCTGGAGATTAAACCAGTTAGGGTCAGGTGTCAAGAGCTCAGTATAGAATCTGAAGCCATATCTCACCTCCTCTGGGAAGCCTTCCTGGGCTGGCCCCACCTGGCACCTCTTCTGCCTGACCCCGACTGCCAGGCCTCCCCTGAACACTCTCAGATGCCTTTTTTCTATATCATGAGCTCTCACACAGTTCTGGGGGGCCAGAGGTCTCACTAGTCTGGGCTGATGGGTGAAGAGTGGGCAGCTCAGCCTGAATCAAAGAATTTTTTTAAAAGATTTATTTGTTTATTTGAGAGAGAGAGAGCATGAGCATGGGGGGGCAGGGGGGACGTTGTAGAGCAGAGGGAGAGGATCAAGCAGACTCCCCACCGAGCAGGGGGCCCGATGCAGGGCTCGATCCTAGGATCCTGGGATCATGACCTGAGCCAAAGGCAGACACTAGGCGCCCCCCAAAGAAGATTTTTAAAGAAGTGAATGAAAACAATCATATACCCCTCCTGGATACTCAGCCCATCTGGTGGCACAATGTGACTGGGAAAGATCCTTCGGAGAAGTCAGAGCAGGTGAGGGGTATTCTATCCTTATAGGGCATCTCGAATACTATTTCAAGAAGGGCACACACCTCCTCAAACCCACCCCTCAAGCCCAGGCAAGAATCAGAACCAGAGGGTCTGCTTTCAGGAGAGGGTGCAATGGGCATCTTGGCGGTCAGAGCATCCAGAGGGCTTAGTTCCAGAACGTTCCCTCACTGCACTTGGCGCCTGGAAAGAAGGAGGAGACTAGGGTCTTTACAGAGGCAATTAGGTCAAAATGAAGTGAACTGGTGCCCTCATAAGAAGTGGAGATTAGGATGCAGACATACACAGAAGGGTGACCACGAGAGGACGCAGGGAGAAGGCGACCGTCCCGTCTGCAAGCCAAGGAGAGGGGCCTCAGGAGGAACCAACCATTTAAGACTCAAGGTTGATTGGATCGCAAGGATGACACTGAAGGCATTCACCTCAGACTGCCAGCCTCCAGAACAACGAGACAATAACTTCCTATTGTCTGAGCCCCCCGGTCTGGGGTCCTTTGCTGTGGCCGCCTGAGCTGACTAGTACACCCTCTGGAAACGTTCTTTCCAGAAGCAGAAGCTGTGGTTGGAAGACACAGGTGACCTTCACACAGAGGGGCCTGATGGTCAAGGTCAGGTCAGTGGTTCTCACGCTTGGCAGGCTCATTATAACACCAATCGCAGGTCCCACCCCAGTGTCAGAGTCAGCCGATTTGGGGTGGGGCCTGGAAATCTGCATCGCTAACAGGTCTGTTCTCCTCTGGGGCTGATGCTGCTGGTCCAGGGACCACACTTTGAGAACCAATGTTTTCTGTGCTCATTAAACTCTGAGAACCCCTGGCCCGACAGCTGGAGCCCCCGGTGGGAGAGTCACTTGCAAAGATGGGCCGTCTGGCTCAGGGTTTCTCAAGCTCTGCTGTGCATCAGAAGCCCCTGGGAAGACCCCCACCCCTGGGTCCTACACCGGGGCCTCTGGTCTGGGATATGGCCCGGGCAGTGAGATTTAGAAACCCCCATGGGTTCTACTGCACAGCTAGGGTTGACAAGAACTCATCACACTCCAGTGCGCAAGTATGACATTTGCATCCATTCTATTCCATCCTCTTCCCTCCATTTTCAAATGCTGTTCCTGCCCCTATGAAATCAATTTCACACCCATCGATGGGTCACAGCCTGCAATTTGAAAAGTGCTGGGAGGGCGTGAAGGCTGAGTAGGAAGGGCCAGCATCCTCCCAGAGTCAGTTACTGGCGGGCTTCACACAGGGTGGGACAGCTGGGATTGTGTTTCCGGAAGCTCCCCGGCAGGCCGGCGGGCAAGCAGGCGGTCTGTGGGTGGCCGAAGGGCAAAGACCAGGGCTTTCAGCCTTCCTGCTTCTGCATCTACCACCCGGAACGCATCTCCCTTTGAGAGAAGGGAACAGGTTCAAGTCTGGCCTCATCTCCTCCAGGAAGCCCTCCTGATTACATCCCCTTTCCCAGGATCACAGGTGCTGGTGTCCTGTCGGTGCCCCCTCCCAAGGCCAATGCCCAGCCAAAGCCGGCAGCTCAGGAATGTGGAGACCAGAAGGAATGAGGGAGTAGATAACCCAGGCCCAGCGGGAGACCCTGGCCCGGCCTCGCCAGCCTCCCACCCTGCATCCTGTCAGCTGCCCTGCCCGCCCAGTGGGACCTGCCTGGCGCCACAGGGATCAGGCCCGCTGAGGGTTCCAGGCATGGGTGGAGGAGGTCTGCCCAAGGCAGGGAGTGGCCAAACGTGGTGTAGGAATGGAGACTGGCAAAACCCAGGAGGAAGAGAGCTCCCCGCCCAGCAGTGTTCCCAACTCAGGCTCTTGGAAGGGCTCCTGGGCACGATGGGCTGGAGGAGGTGAGCCGATAAGGGTGTGCAGGAGGGAGCACTGCCGAGAGCCAGGCAGAGGGAGTACGGACTGGGCAAGAGGAGTGTGGATAGCTCTGCCCACCAGCTCCTGGAGCCAGCATGGCGAACAACTGGGGTGCCCAGCCCTGGGAAGAGAGGGCCTTGCTTTGAGGAGTGTACCCCACAGCTAGGGCCATCACCCTATCAGAGAGTGGGGTGGCTGGTAGGGTGAAATGCCCTAGAGGCCTCCGCTCCAGGCCGTAATGCTGGTGGGTGAGCTTGCGCACCCCCAAAAGACTCAGTTTGCTCACCTGGGTAGCCGGATCGTTTAGGGAGCCATGAATACCTATGCGAGTCCATCCCGTATCCTGCCCCTCACAGCTCACCAGGCTGCAAGCCAAAGTAGGCAGAGAGCTGCCTTCTCTTCAAGTGAATATACTAGAGGGGCAGGAGGTCTGGAGGGAAGATTTCCCTGCCCCGGGGTTGGGAGAGTTCCCCGTGGGTCCAGGAGCAGATTACCGCTGGGCAAGCACCCCCAGAGATGGCCCCGGGCTCCCCAGCCTCATCACAGTCCCCGGGTACACAAAGGCACAGAGGCTCCAATAAGGCCAGCGAGGCCAGGGGCCACCTGGGTTTTGGTTAGGGACGGAGGGTGGGGACAGAGAGAGCCAGTGACTAGGATGGAATTTACTGCCGCCCGCCCACATGACGGGGCTCCGAGTTACAAGTACATAGATCCACAGGAGATCCAGAGTGCTCTTTCTGGCAGTCCGAGTTTGTAGACAGGGCTCCTGACCCCTGTGTTTATACTTGGGATAATAATATCCCCAATCGCAAATGGAGATGTGCTTTGTAAACTGTCAAGTGTCAAACAAATGAAAGGCGTGTTCTGGATTCATCCATCCTGGGTCCCTGGGGAGAGGGGGGGCGTGCAGAGTCTGCCCGGCTAGCAATGTTCTCCCCCAGACAGCAGCAGACAGCTCAGGAGGCGATGTGGGAACAGCACGGGGCAGAACAGCACGGCCTGTCCGGGACACCCACCCCCTGGCTCGCACCGGCCAAGGACCCAGACTGACAAATGACTCAGACACACAAACACCCAGGCCTGGGCAGAGGCGAGGCGTTGCACAGAGGTTGCTGGATCAGAGATGAGGAGCTTGGGAACTGCGGCATGGAGGAGGGGGTGGTGCTTGTGAGAAGGGGGCTTCCCCTGGGCCTCCCCCCTCTCTCCCTCCAGCCTCACTCATCTGCTTTGGTCGCCTAAACGGTGTCACAGACCCCATCCTGCATTGGAGAATGGGCTGGTCTACCTGATGCTTACAGACATGGGTTTTCAATCTTAAAGGCCCATGGAGACCCCGTCTCCATTTTTCTGGGGTTAATTACCGTTGATGTCACCATTATTGGGTATTACTAGGTGATCCGCCCAAGCTCATGATGACAGCTTCCCCCTCTGCACCCCCAGCCTCCTCCTAGCACCCCAGCCTGGGAGATGCAGAAACACCCTGCACTGGAATCCAGCCACCTTCCCAGCTCCCCAAAACCGCCCCTGAGTACCACCTGTTCCTCCCTCAGGCCCAGACCCGCAGCTTCCCATCAATCGACTTTTAACTACAGACCCTTTACCTCCAGCGAAGTCTGACATCTGTCCCCTTGGCAGGCTCCTTTCCTCTCCTGGCCCGTGCTCAGAGAGGTCCCCAGCTGCCTCGGGGCAGGGACGAGCCACAGAAGGCCTTTCTCATTTTCCGGCCAAAGTGTTGGCTCCGGGTGCTGCCCAGTAAGCCCCCCCCCTGCCCCCCCCCCAACCTCCACCTGCTCTGGTTGGGTCACCAGCATGAGGCAGGGCCTCTCCCCTGGGGCTGCCTGTCCTGGTTGTGCCCCAGGCCTCCCTCCCCCCGCCGGCCCTCAAGGACGTCCCTTCTTCCCTGCCCCTCTCCTTCCCCTTCATGCCCTGTCCTTCCTATAATCTGAATAGTGGGAGCCACCCTCGGGCTCATCCTCACCAGTCCCCTCATGATCTTCACCTGCGCTGTCCACCCCACGTGGCCATTGGCCACACGTGGCTACTGAGCTCTCGAAATGCAACCAGTCTAAACTGAGATGGGCTTTAAATGTAACTTCCACGCCAGTTTTGTTGTTTGTTTGTTTGTTTTAGTGTAATTGACATATAACATTGTTTAGTTTCAGGGGCACAAGATGGTGACTTGATATTCGTACAAATTGCCGTCACCACAGTAAGTCGGATTAACAATCCATCACCGGCTATAGTGATGACCTTTTCTGTCGTGATGAGAACTTTTAAGATCTGCTCTCTTAGCAACTTCTAAATATACCATACGGTATTGTTAACTGGGGTGACCGAGCCATACGTGACGTCACCGGGGCTCATTTATCTTAGAACTGGAAGTTTGTACCGTTTGACCCCCTTCCCCCATTTCATCCCACCTCTGTCCCCTGTATCTGTGAGCTTGGGTTTATTTATTTATTTCGATTTCACATGTAAGTGAGGTCATACAGTATTTGTCTTTCTCTGACTTATCTCACTAAGCATAATGGCCTCAAGGTCCATCCATGTCATTGCAAATAGCAGGAATTCCTTTCTTTTTTATGACTGAATAACATTCCATTGTGTGTGTGTGTGTGTAACATTTTCTTTGTCTCTTCCTCATTGATGGCTATGGTAGGTTGCTTCTCTGTCATAGAGATTGTAAATAATGCTGCAAAGAACATGGGGTGCAATGTCTTGTCTTTTCTTTTTTTAAAAGATTTTATTTATTTATTTGACAGAGACACAGCGAGAGAGGGAACACAAGCAGGGGGAGTGGGAGAGGGAGAAGCAGACTCCCTGCCAAGCAGGGAGCCCGACGCGGGGCTCCATCCTAGGACCCTGGGCTCATGACCTGAGCCGAAGGCAGACGCTCAACGACTGAGCCACCCAGGAGCCCCCAGATGTCTTTTCAAAGTAGCATTCTTGTTTCCTTCAGATCAATATTCAGAGGTGGCATTGCTGGGTCATCCAGTTTTAAGACTCGGTACAATAAAAGGAATGTAGAACATCTCCATAACTTTTATATCAATTACAGGTTCAGATGATAATATTTTAGATATAGTCCGTTAAATATAGCATATGATCAGAATGAATTTTACTTACATTTTCTTTATTTTGTGAGGCTACCGGAAAATTTGAAATCAGAAGAGGGGCAGGTTCTGGCCTTCATGTCTGCAGCTGGGTCTCTCCGATGAGCGAGGGTGGGTCGGGTCGGGGGAAGGGGTCCTTCACTTGGCCCTGCTGCTGATTCTCTCCAAAAGTGTCTACACTCGGACCCACGCTCCCGACCAGCATTCCGTTCCTTCCCAAACCTCAGTTGGGTCCATCTGAAAAATTCATGCTCTCCTTACCAGTGTAACCTTGACTTTATTTCCTACGGGACTGGCTGAAAGGACGCTTACTCACACGGAGGTGGAGATGACTGAAAGCAGAGGGCCCCAGGCGCTGGGAGGGAAAACAGCATGGGTCCCAGGTCCGATGCACACCAAGCTTTTCCCAGGCTAGCCCTAAAGCAAATGCTTGTCTCTTTCTCTCTCTCTGGTTCCAGGTCCCACGCAGACAGCCGCATCCAGTACTGGACAGACAAAAGGACCATGTGTAGACAGGGGGGAAACAGAAACCACACCCAGACTTCCAGGGGTCGGTTCACATCAGCAACTTCTGCCCCCCAGCTCCCGGAGGGCACAACTGTGCTATTATCCAACACTCTTGGACGACACGGGAGACAGAAATGGGTCCATCTTCAAAATACCCTCAGTGATGGCCAGGCCAGAGGGGCCTAAGATGAAGCGCCAAGCCCAAACACAAAGGCTCCCACCAACGCCCCTCAGAGGGGCTGGGGACAGGGATGCCGAGGGCACAGATCTGCAGGGACAGAAGCTGAGACTAGGGAGCCTTGCCAACGTCCAGCCCTCCAGGACAAGTCTGAGAGCTAGGGAACAGCTCCACCGGCCAGAAGGGAGGCCAGCCAAAAGGAAGGAGAGTGTCAGAGCCGTTGAACTGGGTCATAGAGGGCCTTGAAGGCCATACTCAGAAGTCTGGACTTCATCTGGGAGACAATTGAGGGTTTCCAGGCACAGCAGTAAGATGCTCAGAGTCCTGCGGGGCTGATGGCTCTGTCCTTTCTAAACAGGTGCACCTAGAGGACTTGGAAGACGGAGATGGCCTGTCAGTGACTCACCTGGATGCTCGGCAGTGAGTGGGCGGGGGAGGCTTGTTGGTGATAATTGGGAAGCCAGGCTCACCTAGCCTGAGATGCATCACGCAGCCCTCTGTGGGCGGTTCTACCTTCACGACTTTAACCTACGCAGCTATGCAGGGAGGTGGGCATAGAGCCATTGACGACTGCTGGGTTTCTGGAATGTATGAGGGAATGAATGAACGAATGTTGACTAATAACTGTAACCCCCGGTCCTTAACATTACGTATTGAATGCCCTGGGCTAAATTGCACTGAAGACTCAGTGCTATGGGTGGGTTCAGAACCGAAGCCCCTTTTGCGGTGTACAGAGTCTTGGATGCAAGTTATTTGAGCTGCTGCACCAAGCACAGGGTGCTAAGAAGAATGGGGGTCCCAGGTGGGGTGGGGCACAGGGCCCTGGCCGTGCAGGCAGAGGTCTGGCCCAGCAGCCCGGAGTCTCTCCCTGCAAGCCCCCCTCCGCACCTCTCCTGGATCCCTGAGCAGCAAGAACTCTCCTTCTGGCTCTAGCCTCCCTCCCGGTCCTGGAATTAATAAAGACTCTGAGCAGACTGCGGTTTGCAAGTCTGAAAGCCGGTTCCTGCCCACGTCACTGCCCCAAGAGGAGTGGGGCCCAGTTCCTCCCCAGCACCCCCTCCGTTCCCCCTTCCCAGGAAGGGGCAGGCACACAGATGCACCCCCTCCCTGGCCTCCTTCCCACAGGCAGGCTCACCCTAGGCACTGACCTCCAGACCCCGACCCTGAGCAGCCCCCACCCCCACCAACAAAGACCAGTGTGGGCGCATAACCTCTATCAGCTACCCCAAAGTCCCCCCAGATAACACACCCTGGAAGCAAGAGCTTACATTTACTGGGCAACCAGCTTCTAGCCTGTTCTCTTCGTGTGCCCACCCCTCTTCCAAATTCCTGGAGTGGCCACTGCCCGAGACCAGAGGGAGAGGCAGGGATGACCCGGGGTCCCAAGGTGGCCCGGCAGAGGGTCGAACTTAGACTTACACTAAATACAGGAGTGGTCCTTGCAGGATGAGTGGTAGAAATAGTAGCGTGAATACTAGTACTAACATTAAATGAGAATGGAGCATTTTGGATCTGGCAGGCACGGTACAGAAATATATGACCACATTTTATTTATCTCTGCAATCACCCTTCTAGGCAGGGATATTTATCACCACCTGACGTGAGATGAAACTGAAGCTCTATAAACAGCTTACCCCAGTAGAAAGCACTAGAGTTAGAATTTAATGCTAGGTTCACCTGAGTCCAATGCATGGTCTGGCTGTTGAACTCGAGATGGCCGCGGGGCTCCTGGCTGGAGGAGGGGTCCTTTAGCTCCCTTGCTCAGAACTGTGGTTGTGGCTCCCCCTCATTCTCCATCTGGGGGCAGGGAAAAGCTCAGAGAACTTGTGGCCTCGACTTTTTCCCCCTCGGAGGCTCTGATGAAGGCAAGTATCCATTTCCCTCCCCGATCCTCTGACTCCCGAATTTCTTCCCCCTCTTTCGGGGGCTGGGGAGGCATGACCCTCTCTTACCCTACCCGACCCCAGAAAAATCCCCCGGGGTCCTCATCCTGTTTCAGGCAGGCTGGGACCACCGGAGTCCTGGAAATGCTGGTCCCAGCTGTTTCAGCACAGGGCCGCCCCCTCCTGGCCACCAGAGGAATGTCAGCGCCCCGGGTGTTCTCCTAGGGCTGGGAGAGAATTAGCAGTCTGGGGACTCTCCGAGTCTGGTCTGGGTGCTACCAGTGCTCAGCATTGAGACAGATGCGGGCTGGGTGATAAAGGGGTGCTGGGCCACCTCTCAGTCCGGGTGAGGTCCCCAACCCCTCAGTCCCCCATAGAGCACCTGGAGATCCTGCCTGAACTTCACCAGACACTGTGGTCTGCACAGGCCTGCGTGTGGGACTGTGACCTTGATCCATGACAAATGGAATCCCTGTGATGTGTCAGGGTCTCCCACATGTCCCCCAGACGCCCCAGGGGACAACGCCAACACAGTCTCAATTCCCAGGTGATTCCCCTGGTGCAGCCCCTCGGCCTTTGCAGATACGGATCCCAGACCTGCCCGACACTCCCCTCCGCAGCATCAGGCAGGAGACTACTTCCTTAGCCTATAAGGAATGGAGCCCTCTAGTGTGTCAGGGTCCCCCTTCCTTTCCCCAGATGCCCCACGGGGCAGTGCCAACATGATCTCACCTTCCAGGCCACTCTGCTCACAGCCCCTCAACCTCTGCAGATGTTGGCCCCAGGCCCTGGACCCCAGACCTGCCCAGCACCCCAACTCCCCAGCTTCGGGCAGGGACCATCTCTGGCCAGACCTGGGGGTATTGGGGGGGGTCTGGAGGGCCGGGGTGGGGGCAGAGGCGCGGGACAGCTGGCCGGTGTCCCCACGCTGGGCCCGGGGCCCAGCCAGAGGGGCGGGGGCCTGGCCACTCGGGCCTTGGCTGGGGCCGGATTTTTGGCCGGGCTGCAGGGCCCTCCCTCCTGCTTCCTCTCCCGAGGGCTGTCCTGGCAGAGGCCCCCCTCGCACTTTCTGGCGGGAACAAGGCCAGCAGTGAGAGAACAGCTACAGAGGGAAAGCGGGAGAGAGATGGGGGGGACTGTGTGTGTGTGTGTGTGTGTGCGTGCACGCGAGCGTGTGTGAGTGTGTTTTAAGGAAAAAAGCCCACAGTCCCGTCCAGTCAGACCCAGCCTGGGAGGCTTGTGAGCCTGGCCTTTCGTAATTGCCCCCCTCCCTGCGGCCCCCTCCCCCAGGCCTCCCCCCTCTCCCGCCCTCCCGCCCGCCCTCTCTCCCTCCCTCCTTCCCTCTCCGCGCGCCGAGGCAGCAATTACGCTTTGGGGATAAAACGAGGCGCAGAGAGCGGGCTGGGGCATTTCTCCCCGAGATGGCGGGTCTGGGATCTGCAGCCCGGCGGCCCGGAGTCCTTCTGCTCCTGCTGTGTATCGCCCACCCCTCGCAGCCTGGAGGTAGGCCTCGCCCTGCTCCCGGGGATGCCCGCAGCCTGAGGGCCTCCTGGCCAGGTGGCTGGACTGACTGGCCAGAGGGCGCCCATCACCGGGCCATGCTCCGGGGGGTCCCAGGCGGGAGCCCCTCAGCCGCTGGATCCTTGGAACTGCCCTTCCCGGGAGCCAGCCCGTGCTGAGGAGGAACCTGTCACACAGCCACCCCGAGACTCAGGACGGTCCCGACCGGGTCCAGGTTCTGCCGCCCCCGACAGGGCCGAGGACCCCTGCTCTGTCCCGGGCGCTGTCCCAGTGGGGGGCTCCCGAGCATGCTGGGGACGGGCCGGTGGGGTCCCGTTGGGTCGTTGGGCACTAGCAATTTGCACCCCTGTGGACCCGATGGATGTGCACACGTGCCCTGGGGGCAGGGGACCTGGGCTGGAGGCCAGCTCCGCCGCGGGGAGCTGTGTGACCTCAACAGGTTCCTTGTCCCCCGGGGAAGTCAGGACACCCCTCTGAGGAAGGTCAGGGTTAAGTGGCTTACGGGGTTGTGGGTTGGAAAGCCGCTGCTGTGGTCTGTCTGTGGTGAGGACTGGGGCATCCGAGCATGTGTGTGAGCATGTAAGTGTGTGTGCATGTGCGCGCCGTACGGAACACAAATGAGGATCAGGGAACCTGGGGAAGGTAAAATCTCCTGGTAGAGAGAGGGTGGCCAGGGCCAGAGGCTAAAGTGGACCTCGGGGCAGTCCTGGACCGTTGGGCATGTCCTCTGCCACAGGCCACAGGGTGCCCCCGCCGTGGGGCTGCTACGCACCTCAAGGGCCCCTGGGAGTGGCCTCCCCGGGGCCCCCGAAAGGTGCTCCTGGCCATGGGAAGAGAGGAGTGCAGATACTTGAGCCGTCTGGTGGGGTAGCCTGGGTGGGGGTCAGCTTTCTGGGGGCGTCCCCTTGCCGTAAGAACCAGACCTTCAGTGGGGGCCAGTGCGGGGGGCGGGGGCCAGGTGGGAGCAGGGCCAGGCCGGAGGGCTGGAGTACGGGGCTGGGCAGCAGTAACAGTTTCCATGTGACTGACTAGCTGGGCAGCGCTGCTGGGAGCAGAGGGTTCCTGCACGGAGGTCAGCTCCTGGACCTGGAGGAGGGGCAGGGGGCCTCGTGCACCATCAGGTGGGGCCCAGCAGGGGGAGCGAGACAAACCCCCAGGACCGGGCCATCCCCGCGTGCCCCCCCCCCCCCCCCCGCCAGAGCAGCAGCTCTGGGCCCTCCTGAACCTCCTCCCCGCTCCCCCGGGTGTGGCCCCTGAGCACCTGCCTCCCCAGACAGCGCTTCTACCCGGAGCGTGGCAATTAACCCCCTCAAAAACCCTAAGAGAACATTATCCTCTTTTGCAAATAGGGAAATGGAGGCTGAGACAGGGTAAGGCAGCCTCAGGGGGGCTGAGCACCAGCCAGTTCTCTGCCAAAGGATGAGGGGTGGGGGGCCAGGTACCAGGCTACCTCTGGGGAGGAGCATGCCCAGGGATGAGTCCTCCAGAGTGGGCACACCCTCAAGCAGAAGGCACCCTCTCCTTGTGCTCTCGGTGACACTGCGAACCCTCAACTGTCCTTGTTCTTCTTTTGCAAACATAAATCTCAGCTCGGTCCCAGATGATAGAGCAACTGGGTCCCAGTAAGGGCTGTGTGAATCCATGACATCTGTTGGGGTTTTTGCCCAGAGCCTCCGAGAGTGGTCGGGGGGAGGTAATGGGAGGGGTCATATGCCTACACACACGGAGCCACCCCCCAGCTCTCCTGGGGAGCCCAGCTTCTGCCCCCCACCCCACCCTCTGCCAAGAGGACATCACCCCCATGGGTTCCCCAGCTCCAAAGAACTATATTGCCAGTGGAGGGGGCTCCCTAGGAAGACTGTGATGGAAAGGGTTATCTAAACCCACTTAGGATGGGTCCAAAGTAGCTTTGAGGACCCGCCGCCCCAAACCCCCACGCCATTTAAAAAGAGAGAGAAAAAACAATTAAATCGGGTAGAATTCCGTCCCCCGTGCCCCAGAAATATTATCAGCCTTTTCTTTTCCTGATTCCGGAACTAAGGATAATTTGGAACAGGGCTTGTCAACCCTGGCTGCATATCGGAGTTAACTCGGGAACTTGAAATGGCTCTGATACCAGGGTCCCACCCAAGAATTCCTGCTTTCTTTGGTCTGAGGAGGGAACTGGATCGTGGAGGTTTTGTAAATGCCGCCCAGGTCACTCCGATGAGCCTCCAGGGTGGAGGACCTGTGGTGGAAGGGCTAATCCCGCTCTCTGCATTTGCTGGGGCTGAGGCAGGAGGGCAGACATGCCCAGGGGAGGGAGGGGACAGAGTCACCCACTAGAGGACAGATTGTTTTTGAAAAGCCCTTGGCAGCCTTTCTCCAGGCAAACAATAAACAGCTTCGTAAGGTCTTATCTGCTCCCCTGCCAGCCCCCTGGACTGGGGCTTGGCAAAGCCCCTTGCCAAGGCCTGCTGGCCCAATGCTCGTTCCCTAACAGCCTTCTCCACATCTTTGAACCTGAAGCCCAGGGCCCAGGCAGAAGGCCCTGCATGTGACTGGGGTCAGCTGTGGGTCCGGGCCAGATGCCCCGTCTCACTGGCCATCAAATGAGGAGAAACATCCCTGCCCTATTTATCTCCTAGGCCCAGTGGGAGGCTCCCGCCGCGTAACATCTGCCAAAGTCACATCAAATAAGGGGACTGTGGGAATGTGAATTCCTGAAACGATTCATCTTCTTATTCAGAATGTGTTTACTTGGACCGATTGACTCTTATAATTAGAGCACATTTTTAAGGTTTAACTTTCCCTCTTGCTACTCACGCCATGTTTTGTCTGCTGGGTGGAGCACGCATGAGCGATGGAGGAAGCAGATACGACTGGGGGCCCTGGCGGCAGGGGTGGGGGTGGGTGGGGAAGGGCCCGGAAGAGTCCCGGGAAATCCAGGAAGGCTTCATAGCAGAAGCGACATTTGAGTTAGACCTTGAAAGAAAGGGCAATGCCTGAGAGGCCGTCTGTGGATGAGAGATGAGCCTGGGGCTCTGGGGCTCTGTGAGGCGGAACTGGAGAGACGGAAGGGCAGATTCTATCTCAGCAGAAAGAGGTAGAGCCGACAGCATCTGGAGGGGGTGACTTTCCTGTCACTGGAGGCATGCAAGCCGGAGCACAGGGGGATGTTTGCGGAAGGAGTTTCTGCCCACGCCAGAAGACTGTTATGATCTCTGAGAGTCTAGGATCAGGATTCTAAGAGGCAAGAGACAAGTTCCACCCTGGGCTAGCCTGCAAAACAAGCCAAACCCACATAAAACAAGACAAGCATGCTCCAAGCCAACTCCTTTGGACCAGCTGAGCAGTGAGAACCACAGGCTCAGAGAAGGCAGGAGGGGGAGAATTTGAGCTCAGTCTTGGAGGAAGGACAGGACTTGGGTAGCAGAGAGGCACTCCTGGCAGGAGGCACGGCTCCGACCAAAGTGAGGAGGAGGATGACCACCTGGAGCATGAAATCTGCCTTTCTGAAGGCCCTTGACCGACTACTGTCTTAATCTGTTCTCACCTCTCCGGCACTTGGCGAGAGGAGGCAGGGCCGGGATCCTTTGCATCCCCTGATCCTTCTCCCTTAGCTCAGTGCAAAATGGCGGTCAAAATCTCTAGCTCCCCAGGCCATCATGGTTTGGGCACGGAGTTTAGCAATCGCTGTTGGGATCTGAATCATGGGGGGGGGTGGGGACAGCTGGGGCAGGCCAGGAGGGCTGCAGAGAGATGGGCAGGTGCTGGGGAGAGAGCAGGCAGGACCCCAGATGAGGTGCAGGGGAGCAGAACCTCAACAGAGGAAGTAGGGGTTCAGCCGGGCCCAAGGTGGGGAGCCCCCCAGGCTGGTTGGGGATAGAACAGGTTGGACCCAGACCCACAGGCAACATCCTTGTCTCCCTTCAACCTCATTCCCCTGTGGTTTATTGACTATCTACTGGGTACCTGGCCCCAGGCCACGCATGCGCAGTGAAGTGTAGACAGAGTCACCTCTTTTTTTTTTGAGCAATCACTGGATGCTAGATTCAGGGCAGGACCCTTTGACAGTTTGCAACAGCCTTGCAAGGCAGAGGTTATCAGTCCCGCATCGCTTACAAGGAAACTGCAGCTTGGAGGGGCTAAGTGACTTGCCCAAGTTCACGCAGATGCCAAGAAGTGGCACGGCCAGGATTAGAGGCCAGGCGGGTCTGTCCTGAGCAGCCTGCCCCGGAGCCAGAGAGCAGAGAGGTGGGGAGAGGGGACTGTCGGGAGGGAAAGAAAGGGGAGGAGGATGAGAGCTGAAGCAGAGAAACACCCGGACTAAACGGGGAAAGGCACAGAAGAGACAGCGCTCAGAGCCGGAGGCCGGGGCCAAGGGAGGCATCAAAAACCCAAGGCAGGCTGTGTGCGTGCTTGGCAGCCGGTGACAGGGCCCAGGCGCTCCTTCCCAGCAGGCCCAACCTCCT